CTGCACTTGTCCTTGTTGAACCTCATCAGATTTCTTTTGGCCCAATCCTCTAATTTGTCTAGGTCCCTCTGTATCCTATCTCTACCCTCCAGCGTATCTACCATTCCTCCCGGTTTAGTGTCATCTGCAAACTTGCTGAGGGTGCAGTCCATGCCATCCTCTAGATCGTTAATCAACTTATCTAATTCTTTTTTGAAAAGTTTCTGAATTTGTGGCTGTAATTTACTTCCTGGTAGTTGTTAAAGAAGAATTAAAATAACTCTGTCCTGCTCTGCTCATGATGGCCTGGAAGATAAGCTGGGCTAGTCAGGAAGTGCTGTACCTGGCAGCGTAACCAAATCAGTGAGACAGGAAGATAGAACAGGCTGTGGTCAGCCAATCAAAACATGGAGTGCACCAATCTCAAACTTTTTCAGCCACCCGAACTGAAACAGGAGCAATCATCTGTCAAATCTCAGAGGCAACGCTAACTCCCAGATGTAACTTTTCTGGCCTCAGGGAATTAGAGGGAGGCTACTCTTTGATAACACTCAAGCATCAGGTTAGAAGACCCTTGAGTTCAACAGGAGTTTGAGCCAGACCCTCGGGATCTGGCTCTAGATCAGTGCGTTCATTCGAACACATCTGGAGGGGTGTGTGTTCGTTTCTGCTTCCGAGCAAGTTTTAATCATTCTGGGTGACACTCAGCCTCGTGGCCCATAGGCCTGAAGAGGCAGTTGAGTGGCGCACAGGACTTGTGCATGGGTCTTCTGTAAAGGGGGCGGGGGAAATCTTGCCCCAGGAACTCAGTTCATTAATTCTGGTAGGGAAAACCCGTGCACTGGCACCATGGCAGTGCTGGTAGCCTCACTGTCCGGGCTCTCAGCAAGGCAGGGCTGTACTTACGACCCGTAGAGCTTGCCTTGAGCTAGGAAAGAATGAGGAAATTTGCGGTTCTTTCCACACAGTAGGGTTTTGCCTCTAGACCAAATGCACACTGCACTGCTCCCCCCGGTGTGCTGTCATCCGTGTGTCCCCCTGTATTGATCACCCATCACCTTCCCTTAGACACTGCACAGCAAACTCGCCCCCTCACTCCTTTTTTGTATTCAGTTTTTCTTTAATAAAAACTTCGGAAGAAAAATATTTTTAGATATGAAAAGGATGGGGCAGCCCAACCCCCAGCTCCCCTGCTACTCGCAGTCTGACCTGTTGAACCAGGATATCGTACACAAAGGCAAAAGCACTGCCAGCCTGTCTAAAAACCATGCCCAGTTACACGGAGAGGGATTCAGACCACCTGCTAGTAATATGCAAGCAAATGCCATGGAAACCTAGTGAGAGCAGGAACAAACACTGCATCTCATGGCGTCTACTTTTTCTATTTCGTTTTTCATCAGCATCAGGCTGTGACCTTTTTCTAACGATTGAGACAGGCTCTGGTCCTTGTAATTTATTGATTGTCCCTCCCAATCCATTGTTGCCCATGCACCCCTCTCTGGTTCACAGCAGAACCTCGTTTTGCACACCTGTAAACTGCTGGGCAAAGTCAGTGTACATTAGACTAGCTATTGCTGCTCAAGCACCATTTCATGTCAATTTGTACAATCCTAATCCCTTGGCACCTCTGCCTTCCAAATCTCCATCTCTTGTGAGCAGGTGCCCCCACTTATTAGTCCAGACTGCCCCAGGCTCCTTAGCAGTTCACTGTGTGTAGCCCAGGGGATGGAGGCAGCTCATTCTCTGAAGGAGAACTGGGTTTTTCTCTGATTTTGTCTGTTTCAGTGCTGTCAAAGCACCTGGAGTCAGGGATAAGTGCTTCAAATGCACTGAAACCAATAGAAATAAAATACATTCATTCACAGACTGTGCCGGGCCAATGGAAAATGGCAGTTTGAGCCGCTATCTATCTACGGTACTTATATGGGCCCCGTTTCTGAGCAGGGACAAGACCCTGCACCCAGCTGGGTGTATAGGCCTGGCTAGATTCCACAGTGGTTTTCTGAGACGAGGCGGGCAGTGTGTTGAGGAACCAAGCTACGTGAATTTACCATCCAGACACAGCAAGGCTGTAACAATTCTGTGGCTCTCAGGAGTGAATTTACCGTCCAGACACAGCAAGGCTGTACCAATTCTGTGGCTCTCAGGAGTGCTTTTTGCAAAGGCCAGTTCGTACTATGTCCTGCCCCCCAAACCGAGTTTGGGGACTAAACACGGCACAGCTGCTACCCTTTCTCACAGCATTTGCCAGGCAGGAGCAGCAATGGAGCCAGCGAACTTTTTAAACAACTTTTCTCAACCTCTTTAACAGTCTGTTCTGTTGGTGAACAAAGGTTTTGTTTAGATCTTAAACCATAAAATGCCTGGCTAACCCGGCAGGAGCGATGAACATCAACGACAGAGCATCCTGGCACTCCTCCCCAGCGATCACTCCTTTGTCACGAACAGAGAATCAGATGGGACCCCTGGCTGAGGGATACAGGCAGAACAGTGGGATTAAGGGAAAACGTATCTGCAATCTGTCACTTGGCTGAAGCGGTGCTGGGGCTTAGGACTTGATTGTCTACATTCCCCGTCTGTTCTAACTATGCCTGTCTCTTCACTGCCACCGAAGGGGTTTTTTCCATTGGGATACCCATTGCAATGTAAAATCCAAGCGGAGATGAAGCTGTTTTTACTTTGACGTAGCTAGTTGAGTTCAACCCTATACCTCTCTCCCTGCCAATATGGGGTTTACCTCGAGGAAGTGAGATGAGGTAAAAACTGCCATGCCTTGTTCCCACTGGCGATAGCCATCTCGATGGAAACACACCACTTTTGCAGTAAAGACGCAGCCTGTGCGCTCCATAGTGAAGAGCACTTAATTAGAAGCTAAAAACCGCCCCCCTCGATTTTCACTGGCAAAGGAATGCAGAAGGGACGTCATCATTCTGGGAGAAAAACTTGATGGGGCAGGAGTCTCTGTTGTAATAAAGCTGCTGAAATACTAGAGCGTAAGCACCGGCCACCCGCTGAGGCGAGACCCGGATTTCATTCCTGCTCTGCACTTTTGCTCTTCATAAGAGCAGGGAGTGAGAGCAGAACCAAGCAGGTGCCACGTGCCCCCTCTGGCAGAGCAAAGGGCAAAGCAAAGAGACTTTGCAGGGAATCCAGGACATGAAGCTTTGGGGTTGGGCCGGGGTGTGTGTGTGCATTTTAGAGAACTCTGGAACAAAAGAAAAAATACTGGAGAAAATATAACATAGTAAAAGCACTTCCATCAGGGGAAGTCAGGTAGCCAGGGAAAGAGTCATTCTGGATGTTTACAGCAATCACCCATTTATTAAAACACATCTACTTGTGTCTCCTGGTTAGATAAACATAGAAGGTACCTACTTCCCAGCAGCATAGACTTCTGCTGTGTCAAACAGGTTAATGCCATTGTCATATGCTAAAGTCATCAGCTGTTCTGCCATCTGCAAAGAAACATTTGTAATGTTTATAGAGAGTGCGTCGTAGAAAGCAGGAGCCCAGAAACCCCTTGGCATGACTGCTATATCAATAAAACACACGTATAACACAGCACATGGTAACATGCTTAGGCCAAACATTACAAATTAGGCTGCCTAAAGTTGGTCACCTAACGAGGTGATCTGATTATTTAGATGCCTAACTCTAGGCAACCACAGTTGGTCTCACTGCACAGCAATACCATGCAAATTGCACGTTATGTATTTTTCAGTCCAGGGTATTTGCCCCCATATCAGGATGCACTCAGTACCTTATGGATATAAAACAGGGAATCCCAAGCACACCCTGCAATATGATTTTCCTTCTCCCACTTTTATAATCCAGTGTTCAGAAAACTGATTTATATGGTATTAGCTCAGACTACAGCCGGCATCTGTTGACTCAGAAAAACCGTGATGCAAGTATTGCGTTGTATACATTTACTACACAGAATGGAGGCGGCTATAAAGTTGCCTCCTAGTCTGTATTACCAGGGAAAGATACAGCTGCAGCACATGTTTCACAAATGTTACTGGTAAACTGAATATATCTTCTGAAAGTCTGGCTTCACAAAAACAACACTAACTTAAAAACTTCACCATCCCCATGAGATGCATGTTCCAACAGCCATGTACAATGTAACAGAGCTGTACATGTTTTCTGGGGATATTTGCTTGAACAAAAACATCTGTTAAATTCAGCTGTGTTTGTGCCCCCTTTTGTGTTCATTTCCCACAAATATTACAGAAAAATCACCTTATAGATCAGGGTGTTCGTAGAAAGTCATTTGAGACTATGTGCTGACTCCGAATTTTGAACTCTTAAACACAAGTAATTAGCAATGAAAGACTGATTCTAAGACTTACGCTCACTGAGTTAGGGATGACAAAGACTACCATGTGACCTGTGTGTCCAATTAAACTAACCAATGCATCTCAAATTTTGAATATTAGACAGTTGGAACAAACAGCTCATGAGCAAACTGCTCCTGGAACAATTGTGAAAAGTATTTGGTTTGAATTTAGTCTCTGTTCTTGGACATTATTCTCCAATTACGTGCTACAAATTATTTGCTAAGCAGTAAGTACTAGTCTTGGCGGATAATAATTAGCCAAAGAAAGGATAATTTGAGTTTCTTTTGGCCATAATCATAAAAATGAATCTAGCTAATTTGAAAAACAAAGTTGAAATATGTCAGACAAACATGAATATTTATGCATCTCTATAGTGAAAATTGGTAAATATTACAGAACCTTTCTTCATTATGAAGATTTCTCACGAAAAAGGCCACTGGCAACACTTAAAATCAATAAAAGGAACTAGATTACGGAGTCTCCTGAAGCTGATTTTCAGTACAATGAAAGGAGACTGAAAAAAGAACTGTATATTTGGAGTAGGCAGCACAAAGAAGGGAACAATTCTTACCTCGTCTGTAATCTGCCCTCCAAACGTCACCCATGTTCCTATAAAGGGAAAGAAGGGAAAACACTCATTCTGAAAACACAAGTACAAAATACATACAACTTAATTCTGCTCTGAAAGGCACAATAAACGTGGAAAAGGGAGCTCCAGATTGAATTAATCTGTAGGTCACTAGCAGAGAAACACGGGAACAATCCAAATGCAGTCAGTCCTATGCTAGTCTGTCAATACCAAGCTGGCCCCACTGTTCTTCCTTCTGGGATGTGAAATATCCCTGCCCAAAGCCTGTGGGTGGGTGAGCGAACCAGGCTCTCAGGGCCTCCCTATCACTTGCTGTTACACTTAGACTGTCTGTCTCTCTCTCTCATGTGTTTGCCTGACTCAAGCAGAAGACTTTTGTCATCCGGGTGGATGCCCTAGGACACCAACTGCTCGGGTTCTCCAATGCCTTCCTGCCAGGTCAAGCCCTCTCACCAAACTGGGATGGAGCATTGTACTTCTGCCCTTGCCAGTCATTTGCAACACCTACCTGCCCTTCCCAGCCAACAACCTGCAGGGAACAGTTAACTAAACCACTTCCGATTTGCTAGTGGAGACCCGTCTGCCTGTAATGACCCCACTGCCTGACATTACAGCATGATCCCCAGACTAGGAACCTGTAAAAGTTCATCCGTTTGCCATTTCCTCACCACGCTGTTGCCTTCCCTATTCTAGTGGCTAGTGGATACCCAGAGCTTTCTCGATGCTGCCCAATTTTAGCTCTGTTGCAGCTTGGCAAAGGCACGAGGAGCCACAGAGGTACTGGGGCAGCTTCTCTGCAGACTTAGTGCTGGCCTACACATGACATTTTCCCAGTTATACAGAACAGTTAAACAGGTACAGCTCCCCCAATGTGGACATACCTGTCTTGGAATAAGAATGGCTTTTTAAGGCAAAATGACAAACTAAGCTGGAAAAAGACCCCCCTACCAGAATAAGAGGGTCCACATGGGGAGTTCTACTGGTATAACTATAGCGGTTTAAATTCACACCTTTCTGTATACCAGTATAACTTTCCCATGTAGGCAAGCCCTTAGGAAGACAAGGGTGCATTGGTTGCACTCACGCCACATTTGGAATGTTATCTGAGCAACCAAATGTTTAGAAAGTTAGTCTTTGTTAAAATGAAAACCTAGATTCTGCAGAAGTCCATGGCACTTGCCTGTGGATACTTCTAACTTGTCACAGGTGAACAGGAGCACAGTTTTCAGTTCGTGCTAAGTGACTCTTTGTCTGGATATAATCAATTACAGCAGATTCTGAAATCTGCACAAACTCTCTGCAAACTACAGCTCAGGAGTGGATCATTCTTGAAGTATCTTAACTTGGAAGCGCTGAACACGAGTGTTCATGAGGAAGCGAGAACAATGCCTTGTAGCTTGTTTCATATAAAGAAAAAGGTTAAGTTGTTCCTTGCAGTCCATCTGAATGATAGCAATCGAAGAGTCAGACATTTGTTTCTGCACTAAGCTGTGAGGGGGCAGCAGCTATCTTGAGTTGTTGGTGTCTTTTAACAGATAAAGTGCTGCACTACCAATGCTATCGTGAGGGCTGATACAACACTTCTGGTTTATGCCCCCCTTTTCAGACATTGATAAACCTGAAAAACAAATTACCTTTTGGGCTGAGATTTCTCAGGCTTGTTATCAGCCCAGGGGAAAATGCTTTTTATGAAAGTTTGATAAAATTTCATTCAGACAAGAGAAACAGATTTTCACTGTTTACATTTTTCAGATGCTTCATTTTCATGACAGTGACTCAAATTGCTTTTCTTTTAAACGTGACCTACAATGGAAAAAACGTAGGCATGTGCTTTTTCCTTCTTTATGATGGATAAAAAAGGCCTATATGTTTCTCTTCCCTGCAAGAAGCAACATTTTAGTTTTCTGTTTGTCTTTTCCATTAAAATGTCAAGGTGTGAATCTCTGGGGACTCGACAGGTAAAAGTCAAGACAGTGAAAGTTGATCAGCTGGGAAGAGATGGGATTTTTACTCAGATTCTTTAATTCCCTGGTTTCTTTTTGTTCATGCTTATTTAACTTCTAGGGCTCATTAACATTTTGGATACAGGAAGCTTCTGTTAAAATATTTAACTGCTCACCTTGCAATGAAGGTGTGAGAGCTTAAACTAAACCAACATTGTTCAGTTGTGGCAGGCAGTGTAGTTGTAGCTGTGTCAGTCCCTTGTCGCTCAGACATTGTCCAAGACAAACACAGCAGCTACTCCAGCAAAACAACGGCAACTACACTTGATGTTTCTGCTGTTTCTATAAAAAGCACCAAACAAGGAGAACTCCACTCCCCAACCTGGCCAACTTGCACCATACATCACAAAGAAGCCAGAGAGAGCCCAAGTGTCCTCGGCAGGTGACCGCTGAGCTTTAAACTGAACGTGGACTTAGCCCTCACTGAGGGCTGGTGTCTTTGCAAACCAAATGCTAGCGTGACGTGTGCCACGCTGAAGAGCTCTGACAACCACATGCAGCAAATGGCACAAATGTTTCTTTTGACATACTTTTAAACGGCATGGGTCTCTTGAGGAGCAGACGCAAAGGGATGCCTGTTTGTGAACCCATCCATGACAGCACCCCAAGTAAACCTGTAACCGCCACATATTTTAATACAGAAAACCAATCGGGGATACAAGATGCACTAAGCGCACAGGAGGATTTCAGAGTCTGGTAACCATGCTGGTCTGCGAGGCCACTATCCAGGCTGATTCACTGCGGGAGAGGCCGAGGTTTAGGACAGAACAGAAATCTGTGGTTCGATCTGGTTACTTGGTAACCAGCAGTTAGCAACGACAATGCAGGGAAATGCTGCACTGGTAGCTGGATCCGGTTTCAGGTCATCCATCTTTAATGCAACATGGAATCAGAGGAACATCGCCCTGATGGATGCAAAAGGTGCAGCTCCCTTCACCTGCCAGCTCCACCTTGGGGGCCTGTCTCCTACTTAATAACCGAGGGAGAAATCACCGTGAAGAGGATTGCTCACCAGGAGACGCTGGAGAGGTCTGAGAGAGTGCACCCGACGATCGCGTCACTTACCTAAGCCAAGGCAGGACACTCGCAACCCCGATTTCCCAAGATTTCTGAAAAAGAGAAACACCTCTTAATAGCCACTGGAAATGTCAGAAATAGGATGTGCCATAGCTACATGGGACAGATGCTACGTGTGGTGTCCCCGCTCCCCGTCCCTTCGGCAAACATCACAGGAACATCCACTTCCAGAACTATAAACAGAAAGGACAGGGGGTTCGGTGCCCTTCAGTTGCACTCCAATCAACACAAAGTGCTGTGTACGGGAAGTGTTTAGCTAAGCTCTGGTCTTCGAATGAACCAGGAGTACAATGTATTCCCCAGGCACCAGCGTGGAGCAGCAGTTGATAACACTTCTCCTAAACTGCTGATCAAATGAAATTACTGTTTTCACTACAGGGAAATTATGCAGCTACACATGTATAGATAGTCAGAGGAAGAGAGACCTCCATACTGTCAAAAAGGCAACGCTAGTGAAGCCATTTTAAATAAAAGGCATTAAAAATAACTTTTATCCTATGCATTCACTGTTCTTGGAAGATAATTTCAGTACAATTTTAATGACGCCTTTTTGATCCTGTTCTTTCTAATTACACCCCCCCCCCCCCGTTTTTATGGGGGTGGTGGTCTGGATTTTCTAGTTTTGCCTATGTGACTATTTGGTCTTTGTACTGAGTTGATAAAGTGAAACGCTGACAAGCAGACTGCATTGTTATTGTAAGAGTGTTATGACGGGCACACCCTACAGTGCACCAGGTGTATTGTAAAAAACATGCAAACTCAGTAAGTCGTGGTTATTGGCATGACACTTAACAACCCCCTCGCAACCAACCAACCTCATGTTGGTCATCGAACAGGTACAAAATCACAAGCTGGTATGATTACATTAGTCCCTTTACAAGAGCACATTTAACCCCCAAAATAATAAGGATTGAAGAGCCTGGGGCAGATCTGTGCGTTACAAGAGCTGAGTTAGCATGTATGGAAGATGCACATAGTAGAGACAGACAGTGAGGGAGGAGACATGTTGCAAAATTACCTGGAATAAACAGTTAGTATAACTGTTCTGAGGTGACCCAGTGCTTGGGACCCCCCCCCCCAAACCTACCAACCTGGGTTGCAGGGCTCTAAAGAGCTTAGGGTGGCCATATTTTAGCCTAGGTAAAAAGAGACAGAACAAAACAAAAGAAAAGCAAGAAGGTAATGAGAACGTGATAAGGAATGAAATAACCATGAGGAAGAGAGAGAAAATCCAGTTTATTCATAATATTACCTTGTGTTTATAAGAAAACGGTGATAGAAATGAAAATATGAAATCAGCAGCACAAAGATAGAATCATAGAAATGTAGAACCAGAAGGGACTTTGTTAGGTCATCTAGTCTAGTCCCCTGCACTGAGGCAGGACTAAGTATTATCTAGACCATTCTTGATACGAAATCAATGAAACAAACGACAGAAGGCGTCACCCCCTCTAAACCCAAATTGATGGCTACAAAATTAAGGCCATGAATTGAGAAGCTATTTAGTTAAAGAAGGAAAAGATAGAGAATGATTTTTCCCTGACTCAAATGAGGTATTAGATAACAATTGATAATGTCAAGTAACATTATTACTTTCCTATTTTTGCCACCAAAACAGGAGATAAATATCTAAAGAGACAACACACACACAGACAGTAGGAATGGAAAGGATGCTGTTTCTTAGACACTAGACATTTAGTTATTGCCAACTGAAAAACAAAAGCACCCTGCAACTTGAGAGTATCAACAGAAAATGTGTAATTTCGCATACAGCACATCTGCAGGGATAAAACAAATGTGAAAGCATGGGAAATCTCTTAACAGGTATTTTTAATATTAATCAGCTTTTTCTACTTGCAAATTAACCATATATGACAGAATAAAACCAGGAAAAGGGCATTTCAAGAAATTTATTTGTATCACACAATACTGTTTTCCTGGGCAATTACTTCGCGCTCCAAAAATGAGTATAAAATTGAAACTATCTATGACAATTAAACATGGAAAACCAGACACATTTTAGTGGAAAATAAAACAGCAAGTGCAAGCTTCTCAGATATAAAATTCACTTATTAGATAACAGACGGTTGCTGAAACTCTGCACGCTACATTTGCACAATAATTTAAAGTGGCAGTAGCAGTGACCTCATTCAATCTGATTTATATGATTAGGCCAGAATCATTATGGCATCCAACTATTTTCTGACAACAGTTTTACATGAACGGTGTTTTTAACACACACAGAGAGAATGCAAATTGAAAATTCAGAGTAGATAGGGTAAAAATTGAATAGCTGGAAACAAATGACGTCTGTAACGAGTATATAATTTGGTGAGCAGATATGAACTCTACAATGTTACGACACATTTGACTCCTTCAATTTTCAAATGGCTTTATAATATTAATTAAGATGATACAGATAATGTAACCCCAGTTTTAAGAAGGGAACACTCATGAGGAGAGTCTATGACTCGCCCAAAGCTACAGGGGAAACCAGTATCACAGCTGGGATTTCGACCCCAGGAGTTCCTGACTCTTGGTTGTGTGTCCAGAACGCATGCTGCTCCCTCTCTCAATAAACTAGTTCAATTTGGGGTTTAAAATCTTTAAAGCATTATAAAAAAATTGATTTGCACAGATATTTTCTAGTGGCACAAAAGCATAACATTGAATAAATGGTGTCTAGAAAAAGCATGCCAAGTGAATGGCCTTCATTAGCTCTGGCTCAGGTCTGCTCAACTGCATGAAAAACACTAATGGAACGGTTAGTGTGAGCTATCAGAAAGCACTGGTGCACTTCATTTAGCCCCTGCATATTTCACTGCTATTGAATATTGCATGTTAGACCCGGGTGGCATTTCAACTCCTGTGTCACATTAGGAACCCTGTTTAAAAAATAAAAATGAAAATGAAAAGATAAGAAAACGTGCTTAGTAAAACAAACTGGCTTGAGATGCTCGCTTGCCTTTAAGTCCCCAGATTGTTCTCTGCATTGCGGCTGTTTCAGAGTAGAGCTGGTCTCTAAGGCCAGGTCTACACTACTGCTTAAGTCGATCTCACGTCGCTCAGGGATGTGAAAAAGTCCCCCCAGAGACGCAAGTTTTGTGCTATCCACACTGGCACCGTCTCCTGCCGACATAGCTTATGCTTCTCACCAAAGTGGAGTAATTATGATGATGGGAGAGTGCTCTCCCGTGGGCATCGAGTGTCTTCTTCAACAGACACGCTACAGCAGCGCAGCGGCATCGGTGTAGCGCTGTAGTGTAGATGTGCCCTGAGATGTGGAGAACCAGAAGAGTTCCTTCCGGGGGGGGGCTCTCTTTACTCTGTATTTCAGTTTCGGCCGAGTGCCCTCACGGCAGCTCTGCTACAAGCCATGTAGAAGCTGTATGAACTAGCAATGAGAACTACCCTATACTGCTATCGCATGCACGGATGCAACCCTGATGAAATCAGAGGCTGAACTGGTGAGAGAGTCGAATGTAACTCATGTAGCTTTACGTGCTGATCTACACTTCTGCTTTTCAAGTGGAACTCATTTAGTTTGTCTCAGCTGCAAGATCTACTCCTACTTCAAAATAAAGATGTTAAGCAAGTTTGGGCCATGTGGCCAGACACACCCAGGCCTGGTGGCTCTACAGCTAACTACGATAGAGTGATGTGGCTCCTACTGAAAAGATTTTTTCACGTGGCTTTGGCAATACTGTATTTGTGCCAGGGAGAGGTATCTAATGGTGACATTTATCAGACAGTAGGATAGTTTGCTCAGGAAATGGATGAAGCTCTATAGGTTGAGATACTGAAAACTTGGCCTGAACACGGCACTAGAGAATACACCTTAGGGACTCAAGTATCAGAGGGGTAGCCGTGTTAGTCTGAATCTGTAAAAAGCAACAGAGGGTCCTGTGGCACCTTTGAGACTAACAGAAGTACTGGGAGCATAAGCTTTCGTGGGTAAGAACCTCACTTCTTCAGATGCAAGAAGTGAGGTTCTTA